TATCCCGGGGGTAGAAGCTTTTGCCGCGTCAAAGTCTCATACGGGCCAGTGCCAGTAGCAGTTGCACCGCTCGGTATATTTTGCTCAGGGCTGTGACGAAGCGCGCCTGAGACTTGTGTGTTTTTGGCGAGTACAACCTCCTGGAACATCTTGTCCCATTCCGAAGTAATTTCGTGGTAGTAAACACATTAGTGGTGAAGCACCGCCAAGGGCGGCTGCGCAGTGCCCGTGCTAGTGGTGAGCGAGAGGTAGAGCATCAGACGGTGGCATAGCTCGCTACAATCTGTCTTGTCATCTCAACAACGGTGAGACCAAGGAATTTGCCGTCTGTTTGGGTAAGACAACTCAACACCCGTTCAAAGTCTCCTCATGATCATGTGAAAACCTCGATCACTGTGTCTATCCTGGAGTAATGGCCATGATGCATCTGCCAACAGCGGCCAGCGGATGATTATCGCGGTTCGGAGAAAGGTGAGGCGAGGCGGTAAGCAGGTGAAGACGGTAATGGATATCATGTGTCGTCCAAGGCGATGTTTCCAATGCTCGGCATTGGTGCGACCGACTTGAACATATCCACCATGGTCTGGGGAGCATGACGCACTTGCATCGTGAGTATATCCCTGTCATCTATACTTCATGTTCAAGGGAGGCGGCTGGAGTATCGGAGAGTCGGCAACCCGTTGAGCGATCCCAGCTGGTATCCATTTTTGCTAGAATGCCGCTTTACGCGCTTGTGGTATCAAGGGTTCTTCGCGTCTTTCGAGTTTTCTCTTCTTCAACTTCAGTCAATATCGCACGTGGCGGTTCGGAGCTGATCACGCGGTCGAGACGCATTATTTTGCGTTTCGTAACAACAGGTGACCGTCGCCTGTAGCACATAAAGAAGAAGGCCAATCGACGCAATGCTTGGAGTAATGTGAGAGATGAGTTCCGAGGACGGACGAAAGAGGGTACGTATTCAGAGTGCTCTGTACTCCCTGAGAACTCGAGGCAAACAGTGTACGGAGATGCTGGGGCTTTGCGCAGGGTTCATATTAGGGCCGTTTATCTTCAAACCAGGAACCCCTAGCAAGTTGCGATAGCGTTTATCGAATGGTGATCCATAAACAATTGGGGACCTGGAGCAGTCAACGCGGTCTTGGCTACGAGAGTGAGTAGTAACCTGGCAGAAAGGCCGATCGGTCAACCAAGACTCGAGAGCAGACTGAATCCTCCTCTCAACGCAGTCGTCCGCGAGATGCAGAATCATGACACCAGACAGCAAGCCAAGACCGAGATGACGACTAGTAGTGGTGGTTGCTGAGGTGTACAGCGGTAGGAGCTTGAAGCGAACACAGACTGATTGAGAGTTCAGCAAGCACCCTTCGAGTTCCATTGACTTTTCGGCCCTTCAACAAGGCTCGACCAGATCTGGGGGTTGGTAAAGTCTATCGGGATTCGGGGTGGCTCTTGTCACTTGGGCCAGTACAAGCGAGAGCGACAACGAAAAGTCTAGTCTGTAGTCGAGAATCCTCAGCCGAATAACCACTGACAAGGATGTGGCGTCCGGGTGCTAGACTGTTCCTGGCGGTGACAAGATGATGGACGATGCAAGGCGTTCTTAGTATCCGTAGACGCTCGAGTATTTGGACTGCCGTCGCGCGTATTGCCATAGCGAACCTGGGAGGGTTTCGAGGTGATGCTTTCGACGCAAATGCCGCTGTGGTGAAAACTGGTGCTTCACCGATCTTTCCTCTGCTTTGCAGCGAAATCATGGCATCTGATAGATTGATGTGACACGATCGCTCCTCGTAAACTGCCTGACCAGTAACTTTGCTTCATCTTGCTTCGTGTACCTGTTGCTGTACTTGGTCAGGCACCACGTGAATCGAAGTGCTTGATAGACAACCACACAAGCATCCTCAAGGCGAGGGCGTCATGTTGTGCCGGGTCTGCCGAGCGTTTGGTGTGCTGAGTGATCGGAAGAGGCCCTCCTGTTTTCGCGCCGTAGCAGCCGACGAGCAGGATGCCAGTCGGCCCTGTCGGCCCTTTGGGGCGCTGTTATTATCGGAGAGACTCCGTCGCTTCGACCACTGACCATCGAGGTCCTGACACCACAGCGGGCCTAGGGGATCGCTCACCGTATTCGATCTGCTGTCTGCTGGGTCTCGAGTGCCCAGTGACGGTGTGGCTGCCCCTCCGGCCTGAACAGCGCTCCGAGGAAGAGCCCTGACAGGCCCACTAGGCCACCTGGAGGATTGCGGGTGGTTGGACGGATTGGGTCTCTCTTGGATTGAAGGGTTGCGTGTGGGTGATAGTAACAATGGGCGGAATCGCGGATTCGGGGTGGTGGAGGTGGAGGAGCCTAGGAGGAAGAGGGAGGGTAGAACTGGAGGAGCCCGTCGAATGGATAGCTTGGAACAATGGAGAATGGCAGAAGAAGAGGGCCTTTGGTCACCTAACGTTCTGGGATCTTCCCATGACTGTAGGTATGACAGAGGGGGTGGAGGGGAGCGTGGACCCCTTCGCCTGCCGTCTGATTCTTGTTTCTCGTTGTTTCCTGCTTTCGCGATAGCAAGTATTCGTTAGTGTGCGATACGCAAGCCCGAGATATTTCCATTCCTTGCCTCCTCTTTCCTTCTCTCGAGTCTCACGCGAACATTGGAAGGAAGCCAATCTTTCTTACCTCAGCAGGCTCAGCCGTCATCTCGAACCGCACGAACCGCCATACCGCTGCTGTGTACGTACCGTGTCTGAGGCATGCACTCCGTACCTACTGAACCTCCATTGTATCGTCGTACCACTGTGCCCTGTGTAAAGTTGGTCAAGTAAATCTAGCTGAATCTTTAGTTCATGATCACGACTCACTGGCAGCCCCCGAACGAGATATCTCGATGGCGTGAAGCCCTGAGCCTACGTTGTTTTGTAACGGATTCGACCAGTAGCAAACTGTAATTACATGTTTGGCTACATTTCATGGCTACTACATAACCAAGGTGTCTGCCTCAGTACTTGCTTCGCACTCATCTTCGTCAGCTGGAGGCTTTCGAAATGCGCCTCTGAGACATGAACTGACAGGCAGGGCATTTTTCGACATCCAAATCCATGTGGAAAGCGCAGCCGCAGCCGCAATCGCACTTGTCCGCAGCCTCTGACTGCGGTGCGGCCTAGGGACCCAGGGGCAATGGCAATGTCAACCAGGGTCGGCCAAGACAAGACATTGCCAGGTTGACGGATTCCGCTCCTCCACCTCCGCATGTGCTCCAGTTGTTTCTCTGATCCTGGAATGAGTAAGACGAAACATTGGGTTGGTAGATGACAATGAGTCTAAGGCGGTGGAAGGCGTCAATGGTAATGGTCAGTCACAGCCAAGGGAAAGCCAAGGACAACAAATGACCACATCGTTAGTCTTGCTGCGTAGATTCAGGTAAGGCCACTGAGGTAAGAAGATCCAAATGAAAACGGAGACCGTCCTCCAAGATGCCTCGGCAGGACTAGGTCATATTGTAATGTCATTCTGTTGATCCATTCGTTGGGTCTAGTCCCCATAATCCATTTGGTGGATAGATATCCGTACACGGATAGAAACACGGGAATACGGATATCGTGCGGGTCAGGGTCACGATATGGGCTCCTCCCCCCTTCCCCCAGGAGTCCACGACCCAAAGGAAGCAAAGAACCCATCCGTGCCATCGTCATTATCGGGTTCGGCATGGATGTGCAGAGTGGATTGCATATGCGGATGCCGTTATGTGTAGCGCGTGCTGTGGATTCGAGTACCTGGAGCGGATGCGGCCAATGCTTTCGCGCTGGATTCGCCGCCTCAGCCCTCAACTCCCAGATAACTGATGAATTGCCGCACCGTCGTTGGCTGGGCAAGATGTGAGGGGACCGGCAGCGGAGGTTAGTGAGGCACACGACAAGAGAAATACACGGAGAGAAAACCAGCAAGACAAAAGGCCTAGATGGGCTCCTGCGGCGCTACGCAGATACGCGAGGGCAAACTCATTCCGCATTTCCTTTTCTCCAGAGACCAAGCCATAGGCGGTTCCAGAGAAAAGCAGGGACGAGGAAGGGAACCACTTGGACCAGTCCTGTTGAGTGAAAAGGTGGTTCTCCCGCACAGAAGCAGAGCAGCGGTTTGCAGCCAAGCAAATATCGCATCATTCACCCCACACAACCTCCAGCGGTGTCTCATTCGTCCGTCTGTGAAGGAACGAGTCGGAGTTGGAACCCCCATGCTCCTGTTCCAAGGACCCCCGTTCACGCCCTCTGATCTTGTCTCGCCTGTCAACCCCGTGGTGGTGCTGGCGTTGTGCTGTACTGTGCTGTATCAATTGAGATTGATCATTGACTGTAGTCACGACACACGTTGGGGCCGGCGGCGCATCCACGAATACGCCCCCCCTCATCCGTACTCTGTACCCGCAGCAAGCCCAGCAGTTCAGGGCACTTCAGGCTCGCAGGCCGTAGGCGGCATATGAGAGGACACTGCTCTGAATTGGTACCCGTACGCTGGCAATACCTATGGTAATTACTGTGGAATAAGACATGGATGGCCAAGAATGAAGCTGCCAGCCTGCTTGTGTTGCTCGCCAATGCTTGTCAGTCAGTGACGAGCGCCACGCCGCCAGTGCCAATAATACACACAAGGCACTGCGTGAATGCTAATGCCAACACCGACGCTTGTTTGTCATGACAGTTGCTGTTACAGATACATGTCCAGTGTGTACGTACTAGATTGGCTAAGACGATGTCTCCTAGGAAGTCTTCTGGGAGACATTGGTGTTTCTTTGGTCTCCGTACGGTCTCCGTACCCGCTCATGTTGATCGTTGCTTGTCATGGTTGGCAATTTGACACCGTCGGCTTGTCGAGCAGAAAAAAACACGTAGTTGGACATTTCTTCATGTTCCATTGGGGCTTCTTTCCGGGTTCCACGACCCGCGGTTTCGGGCGATTCTTGTTCGCCCTGGTGGCCACTTCATGGTTGTGTTCCTGGCAGGATCCGCGGTCTCTGAATTCAATCACTTTTCTCCTCGGCCAGGTCCGGACCACGAGGTGGTGAAGCCTTGGCCTTGGGCGAATGGTAGAGGAGGGAGTATTGCATACTGCTTAAGGACTGCATGGTGCGAAGTCGCAGGGTGATGCTCCAGTCTTGTGCAGCAGCCGATGATAGGCACAGAATGCCGTCCCGTCTGATGTGCTTTGGTGCGCGGGTTGAGGTGCAGTGCAAGCTAGACGCACAGAGCACCAGACCAAAAATGGAGGGGTGGACAGGATCCGGATGGCAGGGTAGGGCAGGGCTCGTCGGTGTTGGCCCTTGGGCGACAAGGGCCGATGAGGGACCGTAGCCTGTACTTTCTAGGTGAACCGTGAGCTTTGGTTTGAGAAGCATGGGAGAGAGACTGATGAGGTAAACCGGGACTGAGCAGTGAGAGTGAGAGTGAGAGAGTGGTGAGAGTGAGAGAGTGGTGAGAGTGAGCGAGCCAGGTGGGTGAGAATTTGTGAGATGAGGGTGTCTTGTCAGTCGGGTGGGTCCCTCAGATGGGTGCATGGAAGCCCCAAGTGCCCCTAGAGAAACGGTCCCCACTCGAGGGCGTTCTCCGGTCCCATCCCATCATTCATGCTGTGTATGGAGTACTGGGTACGGAGTATCTGTAGACAAACGTGAGGTAAGGTAGAGATTACTGTGTAGTGCGTACGGATACTGAGTGACAATTTGTTGCTGGTAACGCTTCGTGCTCTTTTGTGTCTATGGTCGTTTCTTGGCTGCGCACCGTCTTGGCCGCAACCTTCGCGAATACGGCTTGCTGAATGGACGTGGGATATTGGACACTGGCGTAGTCTAGGCTTGGCTAAAACTTGTGGACAGAAACTGCTGCGTAGGTTGTATTATTGTTGCTTCCGTTGACGCTTGTCAAGAGGATGGGGGATGCCAAGCGTTGCTCTTCATTTTGCTGCATCGCCCAGAATGCCGTCGATGAGATTAACGCAGTGGCATGTGTGTACGGAGCATGTATTCCAGAGGAAGCAGTGTAGATGTGAGGGAAAGGTATCCGTACTTGCCTTGGCTTCCATCTTTCATGTAAAAGGTAAGGTAGGTACTTACTTTTTTGTTAGTTGCTCTTGCCTGCCTCCCTTTTGCCTGCGTGCACTTGCCGTTTTTGTTTCTGTTTTCCAAGAAGGCCTCAGGAGGAAGGAAAGCATACCGCCACCAGAACCCCTCCGTCCCATTGGATGCCATGTTCTAATTGCTGTGAGTGTATCGGAGTATCCCTTCTCAGTCTCACCACCAAAGGATCCAGTACCTACCGTCTAAGGTATTGTGATTATCCGTACATCGTCTCTTCGAGGTTCCCAACCGGGTCTGGCCGCAGAGTGGTGAGCGAGTGCCAGAAAACAACAAAAGTAAAAGATACATGGCGTTTCTTCCACCCGCGCTTTCGTACCCCGTACCTGACTGACCTTGACCTGTCTGCACCTGCACATCTGCAACTGTAACTGCAGACCCTCCACTCTCACTTTCTTCCCCCGGTCCACAGTCCCTAGTCCTCCAACTTGGTGCACCCAACTTTTTTCCCCATCCACTTTCATACAGTACAATCCTCCACTCCCACACCCGGCCGAGGCGGAAAATAGCTCTCTCTCTCTCTCGAGCGTCTTTTTTTCTCCCTCTTTCCAACTCCCACGCCCCTCTAAGCGCAGCGGCGGGGTCCTTCTTCGAGCTTGTCTTCATCCAAATCGAGAACCCGTTCCCTCCCCCCCTACTACCGCGACTTATCTTCCCCTGCGAGACGATTCAAAACTCGCAGCCTTCCCACCTCCCAAGACCAGGACGGAATAAGGATGGACGCCTGAATTATTTTCATGCCCTCTTCTCCTCTCTTTCTACTCTTCCTCTGACCTAATCCTCGACTAATATCCATCCCAAACACCTCAAACTTTTACCTCATCACGGTCGTCTACCTTGGTCAATACCAAGACAACATTCACCAAGGAAAAAGACATCGATCGGCACTTCACTTTGCTTTTCTACATATACCTCCTCTGGCACCTGCAGTCTTCTACAAACCAAACGCAAGTCACTCTGATACCAAGACGAATTCCTTCGACAAGGACCTGGACCCGACTTTCACCTTGCCTGCTTCTCCCAACACCTTACAACAAGAACCGCATACGCTCGCGTGCGCAGACACGTACAGCTTCCCGTTCGACAAGGACGTATACACGGATCACAGAGCCAGTCTAGCTATTCTGATTTTGCAGTCGCTTCTGTACTCGAAAAAGCCTCGTCGTGGTTCTGATTCGACACAGAAATCCACCAACGCCGGACAACATCCCGACGCAGAATAAACGCATGCAGCAGCCTCAAGCAATGGGATAAAGACCAAGAAACCCCAACTCTCTTGTTTTCCCTTTCCTTTGCGTCTTCGGATTTTGGCCTACAAGCCTCCCGATTTCTCCTACAATAAACCCACCTCGCCAGCTTTGGACTCGACTTATCGCTTAGTTCGACTTTCACGTTGGTGCTTCAGGACCGATAATTGGGGGACACACTACTCGCACGTCGCCCAACCAAACCCCCCCTCCATTCGTCAAGGCCCAGGCCAAAGAATTGGAGACCCCTCGGAAACGCCGCGGACTATACTACCTACCGACTTGGCCCTCCCAGAAACCAACTGGTACCGATACCAGCACCAGCACCAAGCGTTCTCTCTCGGTGGTGTGTGGCCCAATTACGTATTGGCCCATCCTTGATCAGAGCACCCTCCTCCGCTGTTGTCCTTGTGCCCACCGGCCACACTCCGAACAGCGATGGCGACCGTCCTCACCAGCACCAGCATGGCGGTGCCCCAGCCCGCTCCCATCCCCCAAGGTACGTTCACACACGTCTGATGGTCATTGCACCCTGGCTGCACCTCCGTCATTCAGCAGCTGTTTCCAACCCGCCCTGTTTCCGTCCGCAGCACCCTTGAAGGCGTCCGTCGCTAATAAACGCTTGCGATTCTAGACAAGCAACATTCCGCCGAGCAACAAAACTCGAGTAGCCTGTCCTCGTCTCCCCGTCAATTTCCTACCGATCTTACTTCTCCCATCCTCGAAGAAGCCGATGAGTCCGAAAGCGAGTCTCCGAATGAACCTGTGACCCCCATCAGCAGTGGGAGACAATCCCAAGAGTTTACCACCCGCCCTAGTCAGGACCATCACGACATCAATCTCACCGCTGCCCACCAGGTGCAGACCACTCCGAAGCCTCTCTTGGTTGACACCACACCCACACCTTCGGTTTCGCCTGCAAAGTCAGACCTCACACCGAAAGCTACCACTGCTATCAACCCTTCAACTGCAGCCGAATTTGCTGCTGACCAAGAACCGCCACCAACTCCGCTGTCAAGACGGCCCACTCGCGGCTCGACTTCAAGCTTTAAGCGGACAATGTCCAGCATCTTTCGACGATCCAACTCATCCCAAAACAGACCAGATCTCGGATTTACCTTGGACCAGTCCAACGACGTCTCCTCCGAGAGTGCGTTGATTGACACAGCACCCTCAAATCGTAGACGATTCTCAATGAACAAGTCACACACTACCACGAGGTCTAACTCACCTCCGTCTCCAGGTTCTCCTGTAGACACCATTTCTTCCTACAAGCAGTCTTCGCACATGCCTACTCAAGATGACTTCAAGAAGAAGAACAGGGCTTCCACCGGCCTTAACCTACGAGGACGCGCTGTCAACTTCGTCGGCGCCAATGTTTCCGGACGGGAAAAGCACGCCGAGAAGGTCAAGCCTGTCTTGGGCAGAAGACGAGCCAGCAGTTTCGAGGGCCGCGTGAAGAGCCGTCATCTAGCGTCTGCACCCAATCCTCACTCAGATAACCCTGTTCTTCCCTTGGAGGGATCGTCTCCATGGGCTCAGATGCCTGACGCTGGTGTTGGTGTCAAGGCTCGACGCATGAGCTTGAGTCTCCCGGACGACTTCCAAGTCGATGTCGCCGACCTCCTTGCGGAATTTGAGTACCTATCCAAGTTTGGCCGCCATGGCAAACATCTCGGAAAGGGTGCCACTTCCAAGGTCACTATGATGAGCCGAAAGGGGTGCCCTAATGAGCTCTATGCGGTCAAGGAGTTCAGAGCCAAGAGAAAGCAAGAGACGCAAGAAGAATACGAGAAGAAGATTAAGTCTGAGTACAGCATCGCCAAGAGCTTGCACCACCCCAACGTTGTCGAGACGATCCGGCTTTGCACCGATCACGGTCGTTGGAACCACATTATGGAGTATTGCTCGGAGGGTGATCTCTTTGGATTGATTGCAAAGAAGTACCTCCAAGATCCAGCGAGACTTCCTGATCGCCTCTGCCTGTTCAAGCAACTTGTCCAGGGAATCAACTATCTTCACAGCAACGGTATTGCTCACCGTGATATCAAACTCGAGAACCTTCTCATCACCAAAGACAGCAAGCTCAAGATCACCGACTTTGGTGTCTCAGAAGTCTTCACTGGCCACCACCCCGGCTTCAGAGAAGCTGGCGGCCAGTGTGGCAAGGGCATGTGTGCCGAAATCCGTCTGTGCAAGCCTGGCATGTGTGGCAGCGAGCCGTACACGGCACCTGAGGTGCTTCTGAAGGAGACCGAGTATGACCCGCGAGGTCTCGATGTGTGGAGCGCGGCGATTGTCATGATTTACGTGACTTTCGGAGGAAATATCTGGAGCAAGGCCGAGGTTAAGGGAAACCCTCAATACGCTGAGCTGCTCAAGGGATGGCAGAAGTGGGAAGCCAAGCACCCTGAGCCTGGATCGCGCATTACCGAGTCGGACTACCCATTCTTCAATGCCTTTGATGGATTCGTCTCCCCGCCAGCACTTCGTCGTGTGCTCCTCTCAATGCTCAACCCCAACCCCGCAAAGCGCGCCACCATCTCGGAAATCGCCAACCATCGTTGGGTCAAGAACATTGAGTGCTGCCAGCTTGAGAACTACGACGACCCAGCTCTTCTCATTGACGCTACCAAGAAGGGCAGTGCACAGCTCAACACCAAGAGGGTGTTTTGCCACAACCATCTGCCACTGGAAAGCCACGGCCACTCACTTGGAAAGATGCCAGGCCAGTCGGGTTATTGACTGCACCCGGACACGACTGTACGACTCATTACGTGTTTGTTTTTCTGCATAGCTGCGGTTCTATCCTTTGGAATCGGTTCCAGCATATGAGTATGCAGAAAGACTTTTTTTTTTTTTTTTCAAATTTTACAATTGGCGTTCACAAAGGCTCCAGGAAAAGGGCCCAATAAGGCGTGGAAAGGATCGGCCTTGATTTGTGTTTGAATACAGCCCATAATTACCTGGGAAAAGCAACATCGGCTATGATATGCCGTGTTGCGAGTTTACAAAGATGCCTGTGTGTGTTTGCATGCACACCAGAAACAAGAACGGCCGTCTCTGGCTCTAGAAGAGGCCCAGGGGTGGTGCATCGACGTACATAATCAAATTACCTTCTTTGATACTATGCGCGCGCCAGACACAAGCGAAGTTCAATGGTGATGTGCGCCCGCGTAGTGCAGGGAACGGGACTACAAGGGATTGGCGGACCATGTCCCGAGGGGAGGCACAATGAACCAGAGAAATGGGGACGATACGTTCTTTGACAGTCGGTCACGGGATAGATCAAAAGCACTCCTAGAAAGAAGCTCCTTGCAGTTTACAATGCAAACAAAAGTTAACTCGAATGTGTGGTATACCTACTCTCGCGTGCGTGAAATCGGAGGAACTCGTGTCTATGAGACCCAAGACTCTCTGGCTTTTATTGGAGGATTTGCCAAGTTTGTCTCAATACGACCTGGAGGAGGGGGGGAGAGGATGAGGATGGGATCAAACTCGGACGAACTTCCAATGCCTTCCCCGCATGTGCGCAACGTCTCTAGAAATACGGAGTACCTCGAAGCATAATCATCTTACTTCTTCCTGACGTACTTGACCTCATCCTCCCCCCTTCATCCCCAGCGGCGCAGACAACCAACAGCGGCAGCCAATGTCGCGGGAGAAGTAAACTCGGAAGCTAGACTGGGCAAGGGACAAAGGTCAGCAGCAGCAGCAGCAGGCTCAGCTGAGGAAGAGGCGGAGAGGGATGAATGAAACGGTACCCAGCGCAAGGAAACACAACAACCCGAGCACGACGTTTTCTTCTCTTGCAACGTCCGTCACCACCGTCACCGATCCGTTGCCAAGCTGCTGGAATCAGCCGAGCTGGGAAAACATGTTGTATGCGGATGTGTATGCGATCCAATCAGCCGGCTGGCGGATCCAATGGATCTTGATTTTCCCCGCCTTTTTCTCGATATCCTCGTCCCTTTTAGAGTCTACTGTGTAGGTACGATGAGCTGCCCGGATGGCTGGAAGTACTGTACTGTCATCTCTTAGCCTAGGTCGCCGCGGAAAGCCTGTTTGGGAATCCTGGGACGGGCGACGACGACCCGACCCCTCGGCAAGTGATTGCTGCTAACCTGCGGGCTGCTAGGGGGAATGAAATTGGGCGACTGGCTGACTGAAGTAGAGCTACGTTACGACCAGCCGATGGCCGACAAAGCCCGTCAGCCCAGCCCTGTGTGCATCCCACGTCTCAGGTTTCCAGTCTCACAGCTAGCAAGAGTGATTCGACGGCGTCTCTTCCCGCGGTATTCTCTCGTTGGATGGAGGGTTTTCCGTGTGTCTGGTTTGTCTGTAGTTAGTGTGGGTACACGCCCCCTCCCTTCCCTTTCTCCCGGTACCCCTCCTCGGATTCCTAGTCTTGAATAGTGAGTTCATTTCGCTGTTGATATTGTAGCAACAGTAGCAGCATGTGTGTGGTGCTGCTGGCTTCCGTCAATACCACGCTGGGAAGGCCGCGACCGCAACCGACTGGCAAAGAGAGGCCATGCGCGATTATGCACGCGCTTCAAGGGGTCGGTCTGATGCGGGAAATATGGGATTCAGCAACGATCGATGGGCATCCCTTCCCGAGTGTTGCGCGTGAGTTGGCGATGGAACAGCGAGAGATGAAGCGGCGCTTCTTAGCTGCTGCACCGAGTGACCCCGTCATCCTCCTTCTTCATTCCACCTCAGCGGTCAGGTTAGTATAGCGTCGCATAAGAAAGGGAATCAAGAATGCATGTGCTGTAGTGTTGTGGGTAACTAGAAAGGTCAACTACCCCAGGACATCCGTTTTAGTCCATGACCGTCACACACTGCGAGATCGAGAGACGCGGGACCGAAAACTGATGACAGTCTTGGCAACGGGTATTTCCCCTTGCCCATCATGGCCGGGAGTTTGCGCGGGCGGCGGCGGTGTGTGGATCATTTCCGCGTACTTGTGTGCTGCTTTGCAGGTGCAGGACCATGCCCGCGACGGCGCGGAGACGTCATTCCTCCGGTGTTCTTGTGGCGAGCGTGAGCCGCGCCAAGTCGGCGTCGTTATGCCTCGGGGCTTGCTGAGCCTGCTGGTACCCCCTCTCCTCATGTTCTTCCTTCTGACGGCAAACACGGATATACCGGGGTTTGACCCCCATCTGGGAATCCCATTTGAGGATGGTAACGGTGACTGGATTCGGAGCCCACCTTTTGGAGAGTTGGCCGCCAGGCAGGTGGCTACAGCATTTCACACCGTCTCTCTGTCGGTCCGAAAACGGGCATCCTTAATCGGGTCCGATGAGCCGGAGGAAAAGACGAGCTGGAAGACCTGATAGAGGCCTTGCGCGGTCCCAGGAGAAGAACCCGACATTGAGTCAAGCATTTGCCAAGACGGCGGTGGAAGCGGGTAGGTCGGCAGCAGGCAGCAGGAGGGAGGCCTGTCATGCGGGTTCCTCCTTCGCGCTGGGATACTCGAGATGCGCCGTCGCTTCTTGCTGGTTGGGTCAGACAATGCGTTGTCTTTCTTCTCGCGCTCGCTTTTTGGGGGTGGGGGGTTGTATAAGATGTGACCCAGCTGGACCTGATGGGCGGTGCTTAAGTCTCAGTCGGCATTAGCTCTTCTCTAATCTGGCGCGCGTGATGGCGGCGGTTGGTTTGGTAACTTTGGTCTTGTTAGTGGGATCCAAGGGACGCGTGGCATGGACGAATCGCAGAGGAGAGTGGGCGGTGGGGAGAAGGAGAAAAGATAAAGCATTTGTGAGAGCGGTTGCTAAGTGTATCAGGTACTTTGGCTTTCTGAATGGGGGTTTCTTGCATGGCTGAGGTAACAGACCTTGCGTTGGTGCGTGGGACAAGCTGGACGCAGGCCACCTTATGCTGTTGGGATGTTGTGTGATGAAGACGGCATATCGTAGGGCGGCCGATGGGATGGGGAGGATGATGGGAATACAACGGATTTGCAGGAGCTGGTACTCCGCGGACCGTACATGATGAGGCAGGACATCCGCCGCAGGAGGAGCAATCTGCACTAGGTATGCCTGCCGTGCTGGCCGTGGCTTCGGTGTCCGCAAGGGCAAGTCGTGCCGTCAGACAAGGCAGACGGTGAGTTGGGAAGGGGCATCCGGCTATCGACTAGCTAACGGCGCACCAGCGCCGTCCTATGACGGAGCTTGACCGGTATTCTTTCCTTATAAGTGCTAGATGCTGTGTTCCGCGATGGCTGCGATGCCGCATGCTGGTATCCGTGGTCGATGTGTGCTGGGCAGGTGTTGTGGATGTCATATTTGATGCCTGCTCTACTCTGTTGATGCTGCCACATATGCCGTGCTTCGGGAGGGACTACATCCGGCTCGACCTTCGATTCGTGTAAGTCGCTGGATTTCTTGCTCACTCGAGACTACTTGTTCTACACCGTTCATTGCCTAGTGACGGACCTTCGGATCAAGTTGTTGCTGCTCGGCATGTTCAACCCGATAGCCCATGACTGATGCCCTGTTGTTGGGGAGGTATTCTGGACATGTCGAAATACGAGGTGGGAGTAAGCCCTATCGGTAGCCTGGTGAGCCCTGAAGTGTGATGAGCAAATCGCCAGTGACGCAAAAGGAAATCAAGTTCAATTCAGCAAGAGAGAATGTCTCTCCCTCCCGCCTCCTGAGTACATCACTGGAAACATGGCAGGTGCCTAGCTGCGTGTGCTTTCCCATCGATCAGTGTGGCGTTTCAAGACATGCAAGAGCAGCCCATGCCAGCCCAAGGTGTTCAGTTGAGGCGGGCAGGCAATTCATCAGGCAAGAGCAGTCTTCCAATGTGGTTGAACATCTTGGAATGTCCTGTGGAGAGCCGCTTAACGCTTTCTTCGTGACAATCATCTGCTGCCGAGTCATGGCCCAGCACTGGTTCGGGTCTGCAGAGAAGTGAAGATAGATGAATTAGTTATCGCCGACTAAAGAGAAACCAGTATATCAGAAGCTTATGGGACAGGCCTGGCAATTGTATCAAGGAGCACCCATTGTCATCTGCTTCTGGTCCGATAGCATGGCACTACCTGCGGGCGCTCAGTCAGTCATTGGGCTTGTCTCCAAAACGGATATGGTGATGAGCTTCTTGACACAATCCTCTTTTGAAATGAAGACCAAGTTAAAGCACTTGACTATCTGGAGCATTTCTCACCCTTCAATTTGTCGCTTACAATTGCTGGGGGTTTGTACCGTTCAAAACCTCTGCATATTTTGTACAGGTGCTTAGCACCCCAAACTTAACGCCCCTGACGAGAAGTCGGGATATCTCAAGTTTGAGTGCTGAATAAGCGCAAACCATGCAATAAGGGCATCAAAGCTAGGTTATAGCGACCTACGCGATCAAGGCGAACCCACGCTTAGCAAGAGAAGAATACCATGCCGCTTGCTTGAAGCAAATCACAGACTTCTAGACTCACAAACGACGAGCCAGCAAGTTCGAACTTACAAGCCAATGTCGTTGTATATACGTAAGATCCTCTTTCAATCCGAGTAACAACTCGTCCACGGAGCGTAATTAACTGAGACAGGCCGCTTCTGCATATCGTATACTCCAAGCGTGCTAGTCAAACCTCGTCAAACATCTACACAATGCTGGCTCTGTCTTAGCCCCACAGTAGGAAACTTGATCTCTTTCACGATCCTTTGAGTGAGTTCTGAAACCATGATGGTAGTGCTCATCTAGCATGCTCCTCCCCACGCATGTTCCTGAGTTGACCAAACGATCACAAAACTTCAACTTCATGTCGACTTCCTCCTACGGATACGGTCGTCAGTCCGGCTCACACTTGACTTACGTGACTCTCTCAAACTTAAAGCCCCTGACAACATGGAAAACTTCCTAACAACTTGATAACAGTGAATACATTGTGTTCCTTCCAAAGACAGCGGACAATAAAAGGAAGACTACGCTTTCCGTAAGGGGGAAGGGGGGGACGGGTTTTCATGCGTCGCTCGTGTAAGTGGATGACCTCAAATAAACAGACTTTGAAGACTGACTTGACATGACCGGGTCTCAACATTCAGCACATCTCAGGATAAACCACGAGTGGATAACGCTCTAGCTCATTTCAAAGATTTTCGAGTCTTGCCAATGAAGTCCCCTGGTCAACTCCAAGAACAAACGCTCACATATGTGAATCTTCTCATGCAATCAGTACTGATGTTCCCCGAGGTATGTCCACATTAGTCGATTAGTATAGGCGTGCGGTACAATTGCCTGGAGAGAAACGATTTGACTTCTGCTCCACGACCGGCTTCGACATGGTTTCCTGCCTTCCCGCGTCACCCCTGACTTTGATCTGCAACAATCGGAGCCCTTCAATGCGTTGATACTTCTGAATCTGCCGCTGGCCGAGACTTGGTGCCCTTAATGTGGTGTCCGAATGAGCCGCCAAAAGAGCGTATCGTCATCGTCAAGTACTTGACCCGAGGGCATCGCCTCACATACCGACATGATGGTTTTCCCAGGACAGGAACTCGAGGGCATACAGGTCTCCTCAGATATGGCGCCTCCGTCATTGTGTTTTACAGGCTGTTTCGGATCGAAACGCGGCATTATCTTCAAGCTTTCGCTCGGCGTGATAGGCATAAGATCACGGTGGCCATGGTTGCGTAAAGTAGCTGGTGAAGCCTTTTGTACTGGTCCAGAAGCCGCCGAGGGCTGAGCATATCCAGCATGTGCAGCTCGCTCGATTGTCTTCGAGGTCGTTGCAGAGCTCCTTGTTAATTGCCCTACCGTCCCTTTCAGCGTTCAGGTACTCGTGTATCTCGCAAACCGCCGAGACAGCTCAAAGGATAGAAGGTCTTCATGACCAGGGCCCTGACCCGGCAGCTTGGGGAAATAGCTCGGGATCAATAAATAATAGCTCAGAGGTCCCTGCCCTCAGTGTTTAATACATGAAGAATACTCTCTCAGCAGTGAAAAGGGGAGAGAAACAGTGTGGATTCTCGAATTGAACTTAGGACGCGTGGCTGATGATGGATTTCGGGTGGAAATTTTGACTAGGAGATAAGTGAATGCGAAGAGCTCAGTCTATGAGTTCAAGTAGTATTTAAATTCAGAGAGACTTTGCTGTGAAGACTAAAAGAAATCGACCCAAGGTTCTGGATTTTGTGTTCACGAGCCTGTCTACCATTTAGGATAAATACGAATCGACTTTTAGCGGTGTTAGGTCTAAGGAGCATATCGCGGCAGACGACCTAGAGACAGACAAAGCTCTTGACATGACTTCAACAAGTGTTTTGGTCGAATCGCCAACTTGCCTTGATTCGTTACCACATATAAGAAAGCTTGATTCGAAGAACGACAGACTATAGTTGACCGGCAACAGAACCGGACCAATTTGCTAGATATATCAAGAGTTTCAACGAAATTAGTGCGTACAATCAAGTCACTTCAGAGTACTTGAACAGCCTAGAGCCGGCTGCAGGTCTCAACTTCAACCAGCACTCTCCGTACGGTTCGTTGCTTTGTGGTTAATACGAAGCAGTATGGCATCATTCATGCAGGCGAGAGGCTATAAGGGCTCAGAAGAGGCAGTAGGCACGGCGCTCGGGATACGCGCAGGAAGATCGAAGTCGTTGCTATGAAGTTCAGGGGCCGGCTGGTAAGTGGGTATTTAAACGTCTAGGTGCTGGGGTCGTTGGCTAAGGTGGCTCACCAAGGTGTTTGCCTTTGCGGTGGGCTTCTTCATGAGTTGAATGGCTCGCTCATTGATGACCTGCTTCATCAATTGTTCGGCATGGTGGACCATGAAGTAACGAAGTCGATTCTTCTGATTCATGCCTCGTTAGTCAGTTGAGTTCACGTAACTCTTTTTGATCACCGCCTGCCGATAGCTATCTCTCGTCGTACTATACAAGTACCGAATTGAATACTCTAAGGGGAGAGGAAAACCAACGGGGGTATGAGGATAACCATATAATGCCCGCCGTAGGTCTGAAGAGCACACATTATCACTAAGCGAGAGGTTAGGGAAGCCAGAATGTTCTCTTGGGTAGTGTAGCTTCTGGACTCATGTTGGGCCCTAGGCCAAGTCACTTGGTCGATTTGGGTGCCTTAAATAGAGGCATATTGGCGATGGATAATCAAGCGCTATAGACGAAGGAGGAAGGCACAGAGCTCCTTCCCGTTGTGCAACGGCAGAAATTCAGAATCAACTCGCTGTCATGAGACTCTTAATGTCATGAATGAAGCCGAGAGATTATAAGACCTAGGTCTCGGCCAACGGACGAGCAACATTCATGGGCGCTCGGTAGACTGGCAATATCGAAGAGACCTCGTGACAGACCTCATCACGTAAGGAGTTTTATATCCCACCTCTGAGACCGTTGTCTCGGTCAAGGGTTTCTATATTCAATTGAAGGCGTTCTCTACGCCTACCTCTCTGCTCGGGGACTCGGAGGCATGAGATCACCTGGTCGTCAGCCAGCACACGGCGCTACTTCCTCAAGTATGGGAGGAACTTTGACGTGTACAAGTGAGGGCTCTTTCTACCCATGTTTCATCGGGAAAAGTGACGTATCTATTGGGCGTTCACGTCGCTTCACTTTGAGTCTGGATCTAAAGCCTACCGTGACTCATCTCTAGATCATAGCGAGGGATAGTCCTATCAATGTCAGCTTGCCCCGGATTGACACCAATTCAAAAGAATCTCGAAAATGAGCTCAACCTATACGCTAGAAGCCTAGATCGCCAGGGGACACGAAAGGACCCGAAAACCAGCCCTCTCAAAGAAGCGGTCTCGGTAAGTACAACATACAAAGAAAGCAATTGACCCTCGTATTCTCTTCCTCGCTCAGAGATAAGACATGTCTGGGCATAACTTCCATCGGAGGATCTCATCAACGCCGTTGGTAAAGTCTAGCAAACTCAGAATACGATTCGAGATCCTTTCCACACCATACTAAGGACCGCTGAAATAAGCGTCAGTTGTGCCCGACGAGCCAGTCAACACTCTCTTCAGACCCCAAACTCCGCACTGAA